CATATAATGAATTTTGAACACACTTTAAGGTCAATACGACGACTGAGTTCTCAAACGACAGAATCGTAATGACATTTTCAAAGTATTTGCTCTCAAACCCGTCGGATATCGAGTTGGAGTCAGAGATACAAAACAAATTGTGTTCACTGCTCTTCGACTGCGCCTCCAATGAAAGATTGGAGTTCTTGTCGCCTCTGATACGGCTGACCAAAGTGACCAAACAGAGCAATAGTCTCAGTCTCTGGCAAATCAAGTTTGTCAACACTTGTACTCAACGGTGTCTTTCATTGAGATCTGATTTTATTGATTCCATTCGATCTCTAATTGATAAACGGCTTAAATGTATATTAAAACACATTTTAAAAGTACCGTAAATACGAGACTAATTGAATTGTGTTTGCATTGACTTTTCAGATTCAATCGATAAGAATTTGCTCCTCAATTACTTGAGAGGAACGCTAAGACTAACGCAAATAACTCCGACACTAATCGAGGCCATTGTCTTCTATGATATGCCGCCTTTCGGATCGTTTGCTTCAATATCTGGTAATTATATGCGAATCATATTATTAATTACTTATTACTGTAATTATGTATTCATAAAATGTTTATTTAAAATGAATTCTTAAAATTAAAAAAGACTTAATTTTGTTTTTGTAGATAAACTCTCGTTTTCGGAACTGGTTATTGAGCTGAAGAGCAAGTATAGTGTGCCCATCCCTACCATTCATTTGCTCCATCGGCTCTATTTCTCTTCAATTCTCAAACTATAGAAAACAAACTTTTATTTTATAATGAAAATAATGATAAATTGTAAATTTAAATATAAAATTGATATTGTATTGTGTATGAATATGCGATAAATTAAATGTAACAAATGGTGGGTACAGTTGTGTAGTTATAGCGTGTAATTAGTGCTGAATACAAGTGTTTAGAGCAGATAGAAAGGTGCGATGGGATGGTATTGGGAGCAGTTTGCATGTGCTGTGCACTGGTATGCAATGGTTACGCAATTTGAATGCATTTTCATACAGACATCACACGGAATGTGATCGACAGATGACAGTCAAAGATGGGAATCGATAGTTA